AAGGACCTGGACCTCTGGAACATTCACAGTCTGAAGGTAGAACTCTGGTCAGTAGATGAAGGTTCTGCAGATACAGAACCAGATGTTCTGAGGAGGTCAGTTGAGAACTTTATTGAGATTGGGTTGATGTTCCGTGTTCTGACCCGGGTGTTCTCCTCCCAGAGTCTCGGCTTCAGAGCTACCTGCTGGCGTCTCTGGAGTCCAGTCAGCACAAGACGCCTCCTCCTCTGCCTGGAGGTCTGGCTCCGGTCAGCAGGGAGCTGAAGGAGCTGGCCGTTCGCTTCAGCCGCCTCGTCACCTTCAACAAGCTGGTGTTCTCCCCGTTCTACCAGAAGATCCTGCAGAAGATGGTGACGTCGGGGGAGAGTCCAGAGACTTAGACGCCGGCGGAGCTGCTCGGTTGGAGAAAAGCACCTCAAACCGAGTCAGTCGTCACCTCGTCGCCGTGTTGTCGATTTGATAAGATGTCAGACCTCATAGTTGTGATCTTAGAACCTCCGTCATCATAATGTTCAGTGTTCCCAGACGGACCGGTTCCACACCTGAGCTGGGTTTAGAACCAATACCCAAACAGTCCTGATGATAGTTTCCCTGCAGACTGTAGACAAAAACAACCTCTAACCCGACACAAAGGTATTTACCAGGCGTCTCATGTGTTTAATCCAGACCCGGTTAAGCTCTGCTGTTTGAACAGCTCCAGAGGAGATCGTTTATTATTGATGAGCTCCGTTTATCACAGGAGCAGCTTCTGTCCTTAAGGGTCCCGTATTCTGCCCGTGTTTGGAAAATTAATTCAAAAGTCTGTCGGTTGTTGAGCTCAAAGCGCCACGAAAATTTTAATTTATAACCACGACTTTGAGCTTTGGCTGTTTCAGGTGTGTGCTGCTGGCCACGCCCCCTTCAGGAAGGAAACTGTCACTGCATCTGTAAGAAAAAACGTCGTCAAAAGTGGAATTTAATTTAATATGACCTCAGTAAATGAGTTGTTCAGCATCCTCTGGACAGATTTCTCCACAAACGAAGTGTCTTTAAGTTGTAGTTCTTAAGTTTTATTTATTTGCACAATTTAAAAAAAGGTTGTTTACGTACAACAGACGCAACAACGATTACAACGTGGGAGAAAAAGAAGTCTGGAAGATTTTTTTTTCTTTAGACGTCTCCTTTTTTAACAAATAATAAGAAAAAATGTTTTATTACTCATTAAAAGTGACTAAAAATACAATAAAAACACAAAAATATGACACAAAGCGCCTGTAAACAAACAGATAAACAACACTAGACTGAAGGTAAAATCAGATAGGTCGTTAATTATCATTTAGAAAGTGTGTGTGCACCTCCTCTGGAGTTCTTCTGAATCCCGGCAGAGGGTTTTCCTGACCTAATAAAGCCGATAACATCGTTTTACTGCAGAGGAACTAGAACCTAGTCTTACATTTCTTTTGACATTTGATAAAAACGGATCTCGACCAAGTTTTCAGACGCTGACGCTGCTCACGTAACAGAGAACAAATGAATGACTGCATGCTGCGATTCACTCTGGAACTATAGAACCAGAACCAGAACCCTTCAGTAATCCTGCAGGGAAGCTGCTTCGTAACGGTCGCTGAAACACGTGGAAGCTGCTGAACTATACGAGAACAGAACAAAGCAACAAGAGTTTACATGTTTGTTTTTCAGAACCCAAAACTGAGTTCTGTTCAATGTTTTGGCTGAATTTTCAGAACTGTGCAGGATTTCAGACCCGGAAACGTTTGTGTTTTCACCCTCAGAAAAACCTGTGAAGCCATTTTCAGGGTTCAGTATCTCCAGAAATGAAACTCCTACAGACATGAACTGTGGTGACAGAATAGTTTCTATCAGATCAGGATGACTGAACGGATCCAGCAGAGGACACAGTTTCAAATATTGGCTCTTAAAAATTGGAAAACCTCCAACTAGGCTGGTGCTGATCCAGAAAGTTCCTGTCAGTGTCTATCTATGGATGGATCCATGGTTCTACTAGAATCCAGTCTCTGGTCACATCTCACCACCTGTTGAGGCTCTAACATCAGTAGAACCTGATGTGGTGAAGTTGGACCAGACAAAGTTCTGGTTCTAGACGTTTATTCATGATGATGTTGAATCATCATCGTCTTCTCAGTTCATTTCCAGCATCTGTATGAGAACATTCAGCATGTTGTTGAACTCCAACATGAATCATCATGAAGCATCTTGTAGCTCTGAACATCCAGGTTCTGGTTCCTACCAATGATCCACATCAACATTTAGTCTAAATCTAAAACCAGAACCTGGTCTGGTCCAACTTCACCACATCAGGTTCTGCTGATGTTAGAGCCTCAACAGGTGGTGAAATGTGACCAGAGACTGGATTCTAGTAGAACCATGGATCCATCCATAGATAGACACTGACAGGAACTTTATGGATCAGCACCAGCCTGGGTTTGAACATTTTGCACTTTTTCCATTTTGAAGGACCAATAATTCAAACTGTGTCCTCTGTTGGATCCATTCAATCATCCTGATCTGATATAAACTATTCTGTCACCACAGTTCATGTCTGTAGGAGTTTTATTTCTGGAGATACTGAACCTTTAAACTGACTTTCCAGCTCAGAGGATGTTTTGTTTGAGGGTGAAGATATCAGAAAATATGTGAAATGCTCCAAACTTCAGACTAAGTACTGAACAGAGCTGAGTTCTGGTGAGACGGTGGAGTCTGATGTGGACAAACAGAAGATGTTCCAGATAAAAGGAATCTTATCAGATAAAATGTGCTGAAGGGAAACCAGACTGGAGTCATGGACCACCTTGAACTGAAGCTTCCTTCACTCTCTGGTTGTGTTGACTTATTTATGACTTCTGCATCTCGTGTTGACTTTGCTTTGGGTCCAACATTCTCCATGTGTTCTTCACGTTGAACTCCACCTCCCACAGAGCCGGCTGTCGCCTCTTTCCACTCGTCCAGGCAGAATGTCGTCGCCTGTTTCCCAAACCATTAACCGCTGTTCACGTCCACTGATGTTTGTCTCTGAATGTTCATCTGTCACACTAATAAAGCTTCGTTTGTCCCACGCAGCAGCCTGAAGTCTCACTGATGTCATATCTGACCACACGCAGACCTTAAAGACTGTCGCTTTGCTGCCTCCAGCTGTTGGGGTTCGTTTCCTCTGAGTTTATTAAATATCTGCAGCATCAGGATCCATGTGAGCGTCTCCAAAGTGAGACGAGGCTTCATTAAATACTTCTAAGTTAGAAACAATCCCCGACATGGAGACAGAACTGATCAGGGTGTGACGGTGATGGATTGTTCCTGTTTTGTTTCTGGTCATAAAATCACAGAAAACTGTCCTTATTTATACCTCCAGATTAATTAATTAATTTAGTTGAAAAGTATTAATTTACATGTGAACCATAAAAGAGCAGGCTAAAATCAGAAAAATAAAATCCATGTTTTTATCAAAGAAAATAGTTTTACAACATTTGCACTCTATTTAAATCCAATTTAAATAAATGAAAATATGAATCAATGAAATATATAGATTTTTAAAACAGATGATTAAGAGTAAAACTGCATATGGAGGAGTAAAAAAAAACAACAAATCATTGTTTAACTGTTTTTATTTTCCAGATGTTTCCTGCTGTGTTAAATTACAAATAAAAAATCACAGAAAAAAGCATTAATTTACATGTTGGCTGTAAAAAAAAAAAAAAAAACAAGAACAAAACAGAAACAGGACAAAACTGTAAATAATATCCATCAGTAATAATAATATAAAATAGATAAATATAATAATATAATAAATAACATGATTTGTTCTTCTTCTTATTATTATTATTCTGTTATTATCAATAATAATAATAATAAAATAATGATAAATAATATAAATATAAAATGGATAAATAAATCTAACAATATAATAAATAATATGATTTTTTTCTAAGTTATTCTTGTATTAATAATAATAATAATAATAATAATAATAACAATAAAAAATATAATGATAAATAATATAAATATAAAATGGATAAATAGATAGGATCACAAAATATGATTTGTTCTTTTAAAAGTTGTGGCCATAAAATTACAGTTTTACTGCAATTAAATCTGCTAAAATTATAGTTTTATTTTCACCGTCTTTATCATTTTTATTTTATTTTATTTTTACATATGTCTTCCGGCATTCTTGCCACCAGGTTTTTATTGTTTTTTATGAGATTTTTTTTTTTTTTTCATGGACATAAGTTTCGTGACTGAACTCATAAATTAACTGGATGTTTTGTCTGTCGGTGAACTTATTCCTCTCCAATACTCTGCAGCATTTCTTTTCCTGCACAGTTTTGAATGGAACAACCAAAGTGAACCTGCATTAGGGTATAAACATGAGATAATTAGTGACATTACCTGTGAAATAAGGAACCAAAGCGAGTGATTTCTGAACTCTTATATTGTTGAAATATTCCTGAACCCTCAGAGAAACGGGACAAAACGACACCGTATTCAGCTTTACATGAAAACACAGGACAGGAGGCGTCGTCTCCACCGAGCTGTAGTACACCAACGAGAAGGCAGGCGGCGCCAAAACTCCAGTTTAAAGCAGCAGTACACTACCAACAACACAACAGACAGCAGAATATGTTGAGTAATTACAGAGCAACACTTAATAAGCGAAGGCCGAGTTGATGCCGTTCTGGCTCCTCGCAGCAGCAGATGCTGGACTTAACGAGTCTGACTGGCAGCGACGTGAGAAATTCTTGGATGGCTTCATGCTGCGTGAGAATGTGCTGCGACATGTCTGCAGCAACACAACAGTAAATAGGTGCAACGACTTGACGGGACAAGAAGCGTGAGCAGAGACGCCTGAGTGTCAGAGCCTGAGCAGCTCCAGTGGTTCTGCTGGAGCACGTCAGCCGTGTGATCACGTGTTGGTCTGATGTGATGAAGCTCAGCAGCTCTGTCAGCGAGTTGTGGGTCGGTCTCCTGGTGACTCTGAACGGGCCAGTGTCCTGATCCAGTGAAGCCTCTGACCCACATGTTGGTCTCATGAGAACGTGATCATCAGATTCACTTCATTCAAAACCGACAGAACAAACTGAAGGAACAGGAAGTGGACGGTCCAGACTGTCCTACTGGACACTGTGAACACCAGAGTTGGTTCTGTTTCACAGCTGAAGCTGCGTTCACCAGTTAAAACATGTTAGAAAATGTGTTTACCCTCAGAGTGAGTCCTGTCTGCAGATGGTTCTGGTAGGTTCTGGAGGTAAAACGGTCCTTCCATTGTCTAGAACTGGTTCTGTCCAACCACCATCACACATAAGTTGTGTAAAATAACAAAATCACACAACTTGGTAGAAATGAAATGAAAGTTGTCCAATATGAAACACAAAACTCAGAAACAAGTTAAACGTCGTCCAAAGTGATTCAGAAATGTGTTTCTGGGTAAAAATGGACCTTTCATTTGCTGTAACTGGTTCTGATCCACCACCTGTCCCGTGTCACTGAGAAACTGAGGAAATGACTAAAAAGTGTCCAAAAATACTTAAAGTTTCCAGAATGACACTAAAAGCAGCTAAAATGACCAGAAATGTGTCCAGTGGTGACTCAAAGTTAGACTGAAGTGACTCAGATTGTTGAAGATCACTGAGAAACTGTCCAAAAAGACCCGATTGGTTCTGGAGGTAAAACGGTCCTTCCACCGTCTAGAACTGGTTCTGACCAACCACCATCACACATGCTGACATGAGCCTGGAAAGTTTACCCAGAATGCACTTTGTAAAGTTTCCTCTGGTGACTGATCAGAACCAGAACCACATCCAGGGTACCACTGATTGTTTCTATGACTCTGTGTCATAGACATTTAACTGGTACCACGATGACACATCCCATAATATATACATATACTAGTACGTGCTCAACAATGTTCCAGATTAAATTAAAAACAGTCAGAACGACTGAATTTGTCCAAAATGACTCAAAAAAGTCCAGAATAAATAAAACAATTGCCCAAAATATTAGAAACTAGACTTAGTTCTTGCAATTTCTTCCCAAATTGCTAAAAAATTGATCTAAAAGTGATCGTAAATGGACACCTGGGATCTTCCTGCGTGGAGTCTCCATGTTCTCCTCGTGCAGCGTGGGTTCTCTCCGGGTTCTCCAGCTTCCTCCCACAGTCCAGAAACATGCTGAGGTTAATTGGTGATTGTAAATTGTCCGTAGGTGTGAATGTGAGTGTGCTTGGTTGTCTGTCTCTAAGTGTAGCCCTGTGATAGACTGGTTACCTGTCCAGGTGAACCTGCCTTCCTAAGTCACTCAAATTCTGATTATCTTCAGACGGTGACACCTGGATGGATGTAGAACTGATCTGGAGTCAGTTTCTAGCAGAACTCAGATGTGTTCGTCATCAAACAGTGCACAAATTAAATGAAAATGATCTGGATTAAATCAAAAACTGTTGGAAATGACTCAAAATATTCAGAACGACTCAAATAATTGGTCAGTATCACATGGAAGTCGTCCAAAATGACACTAAATTGTCCTAAATTACTCAACATGTGTCCAATAGTTCAGTGTTCAGACCACCTGGATGGATGTAGAACTGATCTGGAGTCAGTTTTTAAACAGAACTTAAACGTGTTCTTCATCCATCAGAAGTTGTTCAAAGTGACTCACACACTGTTCAGCTGTAATGATGCAGATTTCTGTGATAAACGTGTCGTGTTTGACTTGATCAGTTTAATTGTGAACGTGCCGTGTCGGTGCTCAGCTGTCAGATGGACGCTTTTAGCCGCTGCTCCTCCTCCTCCTCCTCCTCCTCCTCCTCCCTCCAGCATTCCACACATGCGGAGAAGCAACAAGCTACCGGAGCAGCAGCAGCAGCAGCAGCAGCAGCAGCGGCTAACTCCGTCGGGGGGGGGGACGAGGCGTTTTAACATGCAAAAGTTTAGAAACACGGATCCCTCGCCTTGACCGCGCACCGAATCGACGTTTGGCGACACCCGACGCGGCTGCGGAAACCATGGGTCCCGGCCGGCTCCATTAAAACACACTTATTCGCGTTGTTCGGAGCTTCAAATGTGCGAAAAGTCGCTCGGTGTGTCCTCGTCGTTGAACAAGATGGCAGCAGCAGCAGCAGCAGCAGCGGCGGCGGCAGCAGCAGCACCGGAGCAGGGTTTCACCGTGGTGCGGGTCCTCGTCGCTAGCCGCTTCTCTGACGCTCTGGGTGAAACTATTTACTGGTCTTACTGAAGGTGAGTCCTCCCCCCACCGACACGGCTGGCTGTCGGGGAGACTTTCCGTGTTGTGTCGGTGTTTGCCTGCCTCGTCGTCTGAACGCTGGAGGGACTCGGCTCACCGTTAGCTTGTTTGCTAACTGTTGCTAACTTCACAGTTTTGTTGGCTTTGGCACAAGTGTTAGCACCAAAAGCTAATTTCTACCGTTCTGGTGTGTGTTTTTGCGCATTACAAGTCGTCTGAATAGAATTTGAAACAACTTTTCCTCTTTACTTTGTGACTATAACAATACGCAGCTCGTGTGGTAACACCTGTCACGCACTTTACTAGTTTGGCTATTTAAGCTAACTTTGACTAAGTTAACACCGAAAGCTAATTAAACTGTAAAAGGCTAATTGAGCTATCCTAATGTGTGGGTAGTGAACATACAACTTGTTTGAACTTATTTACGGATAACTGTAGCTCTTTATTTTGTTATTATCACCTTAAAAACATGGAGTCCGTGACGACACCTGCCACACATCGACTGGTTGGTGATTAGTGCTACTTCTGACTAAGTTAGCAACAGAAGCTAATTTAAATTATTCAGGTGTGTGTTTAATGAGTCCACGACGTGTTTGAATTTAACTTTAAACAACTTTAGCTCTTTATTTTGTGAATATCACCTTCATAGATATGGGGTTTATATAATTCCACCTGCTACTCATTGCCAAGTTTGGTGATTGAGGTTAAATTTTGACTAAGTTAGCACACGAAGCTAGTTTAAACTATTAAAACTAATTCATACTATTCAAATTTGTGTGCATTTTATGACTCGTTTGAATTTAGATTTTAAACAACTTTAGCTCTTTAATTTGTGACTATAGCATTCAAAATATATCGATGTTGTTGGACAACACCTGCTACAGGTTGACTGGTTTAGTGGTTAAAGCCAACTTTAGCATCAGAAGCTACTTTCAGCTATACACATGTGAGTCCAGAACTTGTTCTAATTTAATTTTAAACAGCTTAAGTGCTTTATTTTTGTAAATATTACCTTCAAACGTATGGAGTGTATGTGGTATCACCTGCTACATCTTTATTAGGTTGGTGACTAAAGCTAACTTTGACTAAGTTAGCACCAAAAGCTAATTCAAATATGTGTTATGCTCTTCTTTTAAAATTTTACAGAACTGAAGCTCCTTATTTTGTGTGCATTGCCTTCAAAAACATTGAGTTCATGTGGTAACACCTGCCACACACGTCCTGGTTTGGTGATTTAAGCTGTTTTGGACCACGTTAGCGCCAGTGTACCGCCGTTATTATTTGGGCTCCTGTCACTTCCAGCATAAGTTTCAACAGGTGTCTGTGCTGGTGCTGCCCTTCCCCCAGACGCTGCCCTCCCCTCCCATATGTTAACTGCCTCCTGGATTGATCAGTAACAAATTGCGGGGTGTTTGGCAGTTGTAAAAGGACGCCAGCTGAGCACACACATGCACACAAACACTCCTGTGTCATGGATCTCCATTTCAGGCTCGGATCTGGTCGTCCTGCGGGATATCGGGCTACCTAGTTTGGCAGTGAGAGGACAGAGCAGGAGGTATCGCAGCTGACTGATGGATATGACAGCTTGGCAGAGAGGGTGAAATGCTTGCGGCCACATGCGCCATATGGTGCGGGCTCTTTTGCCTCGTTGTTGGTATGTTTTGGTAAGTTGCATCATCAAGTGTTATTATCGATATCTGCCAGACTTGCAGCTGCAGTGGGTGGTGAAGGGAGAGAACAAGATGATGCATAGCTTGATCTGGAGCGATCAGTTGAGAAATATACTTTGTAGTGCTGCTGAACGGTTGAAATATGATTTAAGTGCCGTATCCAAATCGCAGGAGTTTTGTTGATGAAGGTAAAATGCGTCACGACGTGCCTGTGAATCATTTTCTCCCGACCGCTGCGAGGTTCTCACAACATTTTCAAATCCATTTCTGTGGAAAAGTAGCGCAAAAGAATACTCATTTCCACTAAAATTGTGACTCATATCGGTCTTAATAGCTGCAGAAATGATTATTCCCTTGCGCACGTTCAGCTGTAGCTTCTGTAGAACTTTGTTGGCTGCAAGAATTTTAATTACATCCTGCAGTTTTCTGTTTGGAAGATGGAGCTTCAACCTTTACACTGTCTGATGTGGATTAGCATTCACAAGCTGCAAACAACAGTGAAAGTTACAGCAACTGTCTGTGAAATATTGATTTGTTTTGCTGATTGAAATATATTGAAATGGTGTAAAAGATCACCGTTTTTTGGACAAACGTTTTGGTCTTTTTTGTTCTCTGGGCAGCTTCAATCTACACAATAGCCTTAAATCACAGTTAAACCTTCATCCTTCCAGGGTAGTGGCCCTCTCCGTCGGTGTGGTAAAGCTCAGCAGCCCTACCAGTCATAAGAAGTGCTGTTTTATTGTGATGTTGACTGGGAGACACACCCCTCTGCCTGTCTGAGCCTGTGCGTCGGTGAACGTTGGTAGTTATGAAGGCTACTGTCTCCCAGCACGCCTTTATTGTCTAACAAAGTCTTCTGCTTAAGATAACCAGCTCCGTGGGCGTTTTTGTACAACATGTGATCGGGCCTTAAAACTGGAATCACCTGAGTCTGTAAGTGGGAACGCAGGCAAACACACACACACACACACACACACACACAGTGCTGGTCTGTGTTTGGAAACATCCAGGAAGTGTGGCTGTCGAGCTCTGCCTCTGCCTGTTATCACGGTGTCACGACTTGCTGCAATGAGAGGAATGCTCCCTAAAAAAAAAAAAAAATCAAGAGAAGCTTTCAAGTGCAGCGTTACTTTGGGAAAATAGTGTGTGAGTACCGCTGAAAGTTTGATATACTCAGTGAGTTATATCTCGAGTGTTATCGGCTAAAAGCTTGTTTTTGCAGCCGTAAATAGTGGCTGCAGAGTCACAGCTTCCCCCTTTTGTGTCTCCGGCTTCTGGGGAAGGTGAGTAACGCTGGGAGTGCCTCAGTCAGGCCTCAAGAATTAACGTGTTCACTGCAGATAACGCCATTAGGGGTCATGTAACTCACAGTGTGGATTTAAATTTGTGGTTCGGTGAAGAAATGGATCAAATAGCTTTTAAAACAAACTGAAAACACAAAAAATATCTCAGTGGTCACAGTTCATACACTTAGATAATATTTGTAGAGCATCTTCCAAAAAACAAATCTGCAACGATAACAAACGTCAAGTTAGACAAACAACAACAGATTCAAACAAATAAGATCTCAAACATGTAAACAAGATAAAACAGTGAAAACAAACACCATCAGTTAAGACATGCGATAAACGAGACTCTTAAAGGTTTTAACGCTCGGTTTGCTCGTCGGAGGCCTTCAGGCGCTGAGAGGAGAAAAAAAACACATGACTAAAAACAAAATGCAAATGTTCTGTAAGAAGGAACACAAGTTTGTGAAGACAAATACGACACAATCATAAATAATCTGACGCAACGCTGCGTTTCCTTCTGTTTTGTCAACATTGAGGAGGCAGCCATCTTGTTTGAATAAACTTTATCGAACAAAACCGGCTTCGTGTGAGATCCACACGTCGGCTGATCGGTTAAAGTGTGGAGTGTGAGTTAATGCAAGATTAATTCTAGTTTCACAGTGACTGCTCAGCATTTAAAGCAAACGGATGGACAAATAGTAATATGCTGAGGAAACGCTGGAGGTGGGGGAACTTGCACTCTCAGATTTCTCATTTTGTGAGTGCAAAATCGTAGATATATGTGGACTTAAATGTCCCGTATTCAAATCGAATTAAATGTATTTCTATTTAAAACAACCAAAGTGCTGCACGTCATCAGACAAGCAGGAACAAAGGTGTATGCGAAGAATCGGGACAAAACACAACAAAATTAAAAGGAAATAAAAAACTAGATCGGGCCAAACGGGACGGCAGCTTGTAATGATTTCTAACAACATAAATAAATGTAAGGAGCATTAAAAAGCTGTTAAAAACACGCATGTCTTGAGTTTTTATTAAATGAAAATGTCAACAAAGGAGGAGCATTTAATTAAACGGAGGCTCCTTCATCCTCCAGTGGAGAGCGCACAGTTCAGGACAAAAACATGCCGTCCAAACCGCTGCAGTTTACATCCTGGAGGTTGTTTTGAATGACGCCTGCTTCCAAATGGGCCTCATTGTTGTATCAGTTCATCTGTAGCACTGCACCGGTCATAAACTAGAAGAGGAGCTTTGGGAGATCACTTCTGCATTTGATTTATTCTGACTCTGGATTAATATGAAAGCTGTAAACCAACACGGTGCATGCCTCCTGTATTTGCTGACAGCAGGACTACACGTTTCACTATCGTGGCCGTATTTGTAAAATGTCATGTTGGCGGCGTATCGCTTCCCCTCCGAGCTGCTGCTTACCGAGCGGTTCTACTTTGTGTGAAAGTGACCCTCCGGCGTGGCGTGCAGGGACGGGCCGGAGCTGCGACGGGCTTCCCCCATCTCCCGTTACGGGAGGCCGGTTCCCCTTTCCAGTAAAGGGTGACATGATGCGTATTTGCTTTGGCAGCTTTTATGACGGCCTTATTTTAGCCCAGGAGCTCGCTCATTGGGGGGATGATGATGATGATGATGATGGAAGGCGAGGTGCTACTTTGCTTTTGGCCGGTTTGTGCACAGCGAATTTCAACACTCGCAAGTTGCTCTATTTGGAGTCAGGAATTCAAAGGCTTTATTGTCATATGCAGCAATAAACACGTTATCAGTGCCGTGACCCCGGCGTGATAAAGCTAATTATGGAATACGCTCATTCACTCAGGCTCGCTTACCTCGGCGTGTGTGAGCGGAGTGTTGGTGCAGGTTAAGAGAAGTTAGGAAGTCAGAAAGAGGGTTTTGAGGTTTGCCATAAATGATGCATGTTTTGTTTACCTCTGTTGTTCAGGTGTGGTCTTCACCAGGCCAAATGAGCTCGTAACAGACAAGCTAACTGCCGGTATTCTGTATATTATTATTTCAAGAGAAGTGTCTTTATGTTGAGGAAACGTCTTGTTTTCTGTCGAGCAGCTTCTTCTTATTCAAGCAGCTTTGCAGTCATGAGCTGCGACTGACCCAAATTAGATCCTTTATCTGCTTCATTGTTCTCTATTAGTCTCATGTCTGGGTTATATTTGATTCGATGTAACTTAACGTCACACACGTGTACAATCATGAACTAAAAACGCATTTGAAGCCGTGACTGGGTCGTTCCAACCTCAGTTCACCAGATTTCAGAAAATCGTTCTCGTATTGGGTTGAATAAAGATCCAATTAGAATTTTTGACCATGACAAGTTCTCTTCCAAATGACTCCAATCATGTGTTGGTATGACCTCATTCATTGGCTATTGTGAAGTCGTGATACTTCCCATTTTTGAGGGTCAGTATCTCAGAGGCTGTAGGTGTCATCTTAGTGAAATTGGGGATATTGGAACAACTCATATTGGACTAAGCAACACAAAGATTTCAAGCTTCTATTGTGAATCCTGTATGTTTTATGGGCGTACAAAGATGGTTAATATTTACTTACATTGAACAGACTGTAGAATCTCTACATATGCATTGAGGTAACTGTAATTTAAACACCTCTAGTTTGGAGAATATGTTGATGTCATCCACAGTTGGACCCTAAAACTCGGTGTTAGTCCATCTTGATGATGATCCTCCATCCTCAGATTCTTTCAACCCAATCCGAGATGGTCACGCAGGATCCATCTGGTGGAACCACCCAACTGTCGATGCCCTCAGTGATCCATGACGTGTGTTTTGTTCCCCTGTGTTCTTCAGGTATGGCCTCACAAGTCTTGGTCTACCCATCACACCTGCACTCAGCTCAAAAAAGTGCCTTAGGAACCAGCAGCAGTGGTACCAGCAGACTCACGGGTGAAGCCCAGCGCAGTAACAACACCAGCAGAGCCTTTCAGCACCGACCCCCGCCCAAGACCTATGTGATCGGAGTCAACTACGGTATCGCCTACCCCAACAACGTTATCCCGTCCTCAGCCGGTGCCAATTCGGGAAGACTTCACCGGGGACCGGGAGAGAGGGAGCAGTGGGCGTCGCAGGCTGCAGGGAGCCAGAGGGAGGAGAGCTGGACGGGCCTGGGAGAAGCCGGCGTCCAGGATCAGCTTTGCCAGAGCAGAGGCCCACAGGAGGTGAGGCTTCGTAGGGACAGTGGGGGAACTCCGTCAGGCGGAGGTTTGGACTGCGGGCTACTGAGGAGGGCCTGCATACGAGCGGAGGAGGACGAGGGTGGAAGCAGAAGACTGCGAGCCAGAGGAGGATACGTCAGCCTTCTAGACTCGGCCGCCACCCAGAGATGTGAACAGAAGACAGGCGACGGTGGAGAACAACCGCAGGACAACAACCGCGTGGGAACCATGCAGATAGTGGAGGAGGTGTCTGCTCTGCCTTCGCTTCCTCCACCCGTGGCCATGTTGCAAACCAGCACCGGGAACAATGTGGACCCTGTGAGAGCAGGAGGTGGAGGGACCCTGCCTGCTCCCAGCAACAGGGCCGAGGCGGTCGGGATCGGGGCGGACGGGGCTGAAGTCCGGCCCAACGGCAGCACGGAGGTGGCGGCGGCGGCGGTGGCAGTGGCGGGAGCTACGGTGACGAGAACCGGATCGGGAGATGGGGACTATCAGTTGGTGCAGCACGAGGTTCTGTGCTCCCTGAAGAACAGCTACGAGGTTCTGGAGTTTCTGGGTCGCGGCACCTTCGGCCAGGTAGTGAAGTGCTGGAAGAGGGGCACGAACGAAGTGGTGGCCGTGAAGATCCTGAAGAACCACCCGTCCTACGCACGCCAGGGCCAGATCGAGGTGAGGAAGTGTGTCCGCTGACGTTACAGTGTGTCTGTTCTTCTGGCGTTGTGTTCTGTGTTACACCCGATGTTCTGAGCCCGCGCTGTGTTCCTGCAGGTGGAGATTCTGGCCCGTTTGAGCAGCGAGAATGCAGAGGAGCACAACGTGGTGCGAGCGCTGGAGTGTTTTCAGCACCGCAGCCACACCTGCCTGGTGTTCGAGATGCTGGAGCAGAACCTCTACGACTTTCTGAAGCAGAACAAGTTCAGCCCTCTGCCGCTCAAGATCATCAGGCCCATTCTGCTGCAGGTGAGGCTGCACAGGAACGAGATGCGACGCTTCGCTCAGGCCAAGAAACGCAGAGCTCCACATTAATCTGTATTTATTCATGTGAATTCTGGCAGGTGGCAACAGCTCTGAAGAAGCTCAAGTCTCTGGGTTTGATCCACGCCGACCTGAAACCAGAGAACATCATGCTGGTGGATCCCTCCAGGCAGCCGTACAGAGTCAAAGTCATCGACTTCGGCTCGGCCAGCCACGTCTCCAAGGCCGTCTGCTCCACCTACCTGCAGTCCAGATACTACAGGTGAGCTGCTTCACTTTCACCTGAGTTATCCATCATTCATGAAGCTGCAGTGGAGCCGACCGACTGTTCAGACCTCTTCTCTGTTCGCTCTCAAAGCAGAAACTGGTTTTGCCGTCACAGAAATCACCAGAATGAGTTTTTGGTTTCCCAGATGCTGCATTTTTAATAAGAATTTGCCCATTTCAAAGTTTTTCCAGTGTGACTGTGCAGCAGAAGTGATTATCTTGAGCTGAAACAGCCAGATGGCAAATTAGTGTCGCATAGTTTAATTTAGTGGGTATTTTATTCATTATGGACAAACTGCACGTCACAAAAGCAGTGACTCACAGGTAAAAGTGAAGTGTGTTGCGTTTCGAGTCACATTTGTCACGAAGGAAAACACCAAATGTCGACAGAGAGAGAGTTGCGTACGTCAGACGAAAACCCGGCCGGTTTCAGATGGTACGCAGTGTTCAGACATGAGATTCGAGGGAAGAGTATTTTTAGGAGGATCAGATACGGCGTGATGTGAAACGTCCCGTTGTTTGTCATCGAGGTACGGCGGGTCAGACGCGGTCTCACGGGTAGCGGCTGTTTGTGCGTCTGTTTCCCACAGGGCTTAGGGAAGTCTTGCTTTGTGTGTTCAGGGTTCGGCCTCCTCTCTTCTTATGTAATGTGAATTGCAGCGCATTAACCTGCGCGCTCTCTCTGGGAGTCTCGTCCTCTCCGCCTGCTGTCTTTCTACTCTACTACGCTGCCCCGCTCGGTTCTGCACATATGCATTTTTGGACGCATGCCTGAACGCATGTATGTCTGAGCTGCCTCGGGCCCGTCACGCCCTGCCGCTGTTGCATAATAGCGCGGAGGAACTGAGATGTTTGTGAGGGAACGGCGTCATGAAATATTTGGCATGTCTCTTGTGCTTGGGTGAGAGGCAGAATGTGCTTATGAAACGGCTTTGTCAACTCCAAGACAAGGAACCTGATGAAGTTACTCAGCCCTGAGCTCATGAGCTGAACGCTGAGGACTCTGTAGTGGCCGTCACAGTTTGCACAAAGTAGAACATATGTTTTGCATGAGGCAAAAAAATAAAAGTCCTGTATTTTGAAATGTGCTGTGAATTGCTCGTGACTCATCGTGGGCTTTGTTGGCATGTGGAATTAGCAGCAGAAGTGATTCCTTGTCATGAACCGCAGGACGTTTTCATTCACCAGCAAGTTTCAGCAAGTGGGTCAGTCGGATTTAGTGAACTATTGCAAAGTATTTAAACATTGAGCAATCCATCACAAACGCTGTGAAGGTACGATCTGTCTCCGGCTAATGCGCCGCACACACCCGCCGCTCCTCTCTCTGATTTTATCTCCCTGCAAGGAGCCTTCTCGTGTTTCATCCCTAGTTTCTGCTTTTCGCGCAGAGGACCGGTGTTGAAGCAACCTCTGTTTTTCTTAGTGAAAATGTGAAAGCGATGTGCAACTTCTCTATTTTAGCAAAAGCCACTTTCTTGGCCCCCACTTCTGGAGCTATAGCTGTTACATAACATAAAGGACTTGCTCTGCAGTTGACCTGGTTAACTGCGTGAGTGTTTCTGCGCTTTGTGTGTGTTTTTTTTTTTTTTTGTTTGTTTGTCTCGAAGCAGCAGCGGTTAAAACGGCCCGGTGCTGAAATTTTCAGGGAGGTCACTCAGGACACGGTAGGGGCCAGCGAAGAATGTGGTATGTGAAAACCCACATTTAGATCCAGGAAAAAACATTCAGACATTCCTGTGTGCGTCTGGGTGTGTTCGTATGTGTGCCTCTGTCCACGCAGCAGCTGCCAAGGCTGCATACTCCATGTAGGTTACACAATGTACCCTAACATGCTTCACAATAGCTCGACTGAGGAGTGATGAAGGGCTTCTCTCAGGATGGGAAATCGGTGTGTCGAGGCGGGTAACTCTACCTGCCTCGGCGCTGTAATCATCTTGGGAAACATCTGGCGGGTTTTTTGCTTCAGCGCTGCGTGGCAGCTTCTACCTACCTTTTGTGGTAACCTTGAGAGGACATGCAAAGGCACTTTTTTTTAGTTTTACAGGCACGCCATCGCCTCCTTTCCACTGTGGGTTTGTGTGAGTGGGTTTAGCCATGATGGCATTTGTGGTTTAGGTTGTTGTGTAGCACACGTTGCCATGCCTGCACAGTATCAATAATCAAACAGATATCTCACAACCGTCCTATTTTTCTTATCTATGTGCGTTATATAACTCCCAGAGCAGCGTATGTTCTACCCCGTGTCGTTTTGTTTGCACTTGAGGTTGTCAGTTGTGTGGTTTGCAAGATATAGTGTCTCTTCATCTGCAGCGCTCGTATTGCATAATGACTGTGCTGTATTGTTGCCATAGTGAAGCTCTATGAAACGCAGGCCTCGCCACAGTGGGGAGGAGGAGGAGGGTTTTTTTGTTGTGTTTTTTTTTGTGCAGCTCTGGGGTTTTCCCTGGATTTTCCAGAACCGTAGGTAATGGCATTGCCAGAAAGTGTGGCTTTGATGCAAAAGTTAGCTTTTAAAGAGACACAAACACCCCAAAGGGCAGCAAAACATTCAGTCTGAGATGAAGTTGTGAATACAGACTTGCATGCATCACTCCTACGTGTAGTTCAGCTGGACTTGTTGGAGTGTTTACGTTACGACGTTGGACTGTTATTGATTAATTTGTGCCGTAGCACCTGGTTGCTCCACCAGTTTGAACCTCCTCCTGTTTAATGAGGCGGAGTTACAGGTGTGTTTGCCGTCCACCCGTAAGGGTTCACAAAACAAGCGCACCTCCCTGACGTCTGGCTGCTGACTGTGGCAATCGTGTTGATAGATTCTGCAGCATTAAGTTGTCAAACGGTGTCTGGTTTAGCTAGCCATGTGATGCTAATGCTAAACTGTCTGTCAGCAGAGAGTAGCCGCTGTTAGCTAGCTCTGATTACGTGTTTCCAGCAGCATTCAGACTAAAATGAAGTGTGTTGGCAAAGCTCAGAGTATAAATCGATCTCGGAGGATGCGGTAAATACTGACGGATTTCCTCGAGTGATAAAGTTGCTGCAACAGTAATGCAGTATGGTGCTCGGCTACGCGTTGCAGGAGTCAGTTAAGGTGATTTACTGTGGAAAGCTGCGGCTCGTTTGTTTTATCAGCATATGAGGAAAAACTGCCTCTGTATTCTGTTAATTAGCCACGTATTGGTTAAGAGTTGTTAGAAATGTGACTGTATTGAGATGAGCAATGCTAAAAATGCTAATCGCTCAAAAATGTCGGAGGGCAACATACGTTGACGGGACACTGAGTGACATAATCATGATGACGTGTTGAATCAGTACAAGTGTAATTAAGCTGTTCACCAGAGTGTCGTCCATGTAACCACTGAGCCTCCTTCAGGTGGAGCTGCTAGCCCCAGGTGGACTCCTCCTGCTGGTACATTGCCTTCTGAAGCTTGTCATTGTCTGACAGGAACAGCTTAGTCAGCAATCATACTTTTTCATATGCTCGATTTATAAAAAGTCGGGCCTCTGCCAGGATTCCAGGCTGTCATTCACTCCAGGTTTCTTGGCTGCGGCGTTAATTTTTCAGCAAGTTCACACAGATTTTTGCGGCCATGACCATGTTTCTGACTCACGGCGGCTCAGGTGGTGGCACGTCCGTTAATTAAAGGGTGTCTTCTTGGATCCCCGCATCCTCTCCAGAGGCTGCTCGTTCAAGTCGGTCACATTTTGCACCGTCATAGGTTATATTATCCTGTAAATTATTAAAAGTAACGTGTGTTTCTCATTCGGTCGCACAGCTGAAATCTCGTCACTCGAGCGGCGAACTCGGATCGGAGGCTGCAGCAGAAGCTTTGTTATGTGCTAATGTGTTGTTGCCATGGCAGCATGACACAGCAGGGCCCGGTGCGGCGGCAGGCGCTCGGTCCTGCGGAGGCCGCTGACGTAAAACCGCCTCCCGTGATGATAATGGAGCACTGGGCTACGTGAATAATTCAGCCGAGCGGATCGGGTGGAAGGAAAAGGCGGCTATCGTCTTAGCGCGCTTACAGGCACCAGCTTCCCTCATGCAGGTGTGATTTCTTGGAGGTGTTGTTTTACTGGTGCCACTGGGACACGCTGCGTTCATCTGGTCAGTGCAGATATTAAGATTATGTGTGTCGGTTTAAATCACCCCAGAAGTGTCGCCCTGGGCCTGTTTTCTGAAAGGCATTTTGAATGAAGGTTTGCTGACTGACAGTTTCAGTGAAACACTTTATAGATGACGTGTAGCGGCGTTGGTCCGCGTTGTTTGTCCTAATTTCCTGTGATGGTCAGTGGAACCTACACCTGCTGTGAACGTAGCACTTCATGAATAATACACGAGCCCTGGCAGTGTATTTGTGTCGCTGTTTTCTCCCTTGTTGTCAGCCTACATGATGAAAGCATGTATTCCTAGTCGTGTCCTTGCGTTTATTTTTGGTTTCCGTGTGTGTGTGCGGTCATGCGTGCTCGCTCGGCTTTACTGTTTGTATGACGTGATCCTCAGAAAAAGAAGTTTGTGCAGCCGAGACTGTTGTCCTTCTCATCACACCTACTCAGTAATTATTGTTATCATCGAGTTTACATGTAGTCTTTGGTTTGCTTTTATATTTTTCTGAATGTTAGTCAACGTGTGGATCAATCGGTTGTATTCGGAACTGATCGACTCGCTCATTTTCTGTCAAAACGAAATCTTGGAGTCAAAATTTAGAAAAAACACAAACCAAAGATGCCTTTTGTTGATCTATGTTTCACGTATATTTTTAATGGAAAAAGCTCTTTTCAGCATTTATCCATCGCTGTTAATGAGCTACGTGATGAGTAGCCAATCAGATCTTGGGAATCTCTTAAATAAAACATCCGTAAAGTTGGAACGATGCTGTATACCAGCTCCTATAGACGGCAGAACAAAGTGGTTTAAAAAGAATCGATCTGGTAAATAAATCATCTAACTGTTCTGGTTAGCAGTTAATTGGTTTGAGTAATTTTTTAGGGAGAAAT